GGTGAAATAGGACCCTTTCCTTATTAAATGGACAGTAACTCACACACCTGCCACTAAAGAGAAAAGATAACTTAGAAAAACCCAGTCAGAAAACACTGTACTTAGGAAAGAAGGTGTGCAGAAGTCAGTGTTGGCTGCACTTCTGCTGTAGCCAGGCACAGCTCTCACGTCACTAAAGCTCTTTGAGCCTTTAATCCCTCAGCCCCTCACTGATGGTCATATTAAGCTAAGATAACTTATCTGTTGGGACTTTTTCTATGCCTATTTTTTTCAGCATTATGGTCCAGAAATTAAATGGGTCGATGGAGGAAAACCACTGTTGAAAGTTTCAACTCATTTAGTTTCTACAGTGTATACACAGGTGCGTGCTACTCTGTAAAAATTAGCAGTGATTGCTCTGTGACTCATGTTGTATTTTTTTGTTAAACAGAATCCTGTTATGTCATATGGATATTTTTACCCTACAGATCTTTATTTGAGGAAAGTACATAAAACGTGCTCATTTGTAGTAATATAAATGACTAGTAGAAGTAATATTTTTCAGCAGTTCTTTGTTGGAGGATCGCTGTTATTTTAATGTGACCAATTTCCTAGTATTAAAAGAAAATTATGCATGCTTGATAATATGCATACTAATAGACTTTTCTTCTCCCTCCCCCAGGATCAGCATTTACATAATTTTTTCCAGTACTGTCAGAAAACTGAATCTGGAGCTCAGGCTGTAGGGAATGAACTTGTAAAATACCTTAAGGTATCTGTGGCTTTCTTAATAGCCCCTTTTTAATGAGTTTGGAGTAGGTTGGGTTTTCTGTTCAGTAAGAGTGTTATTGTTGGCCCTTGGAAACTTCTGTGAGGTATCAGGGATGTCACTCAGTGGTAGAGTAGTTGCCTTCTTGGTAGTAGTCCTAAATTCCATCCCCAATGCTATAATCAATCATCCAACCAGAAAACCTTCTGGAAGGATGTTGTCGTCTAGGTACTTTCATAATGATGATTTCAATGTAGTGTTAGAGGCAAGAAGTAGAGTTAGCACTGCTCCTGTCTTTTGTACTGATCCTATGTATTCTCTTCTCAAAGTTGGACCATGCAAACATATTTTTTCTCATGCATGTAAAGCCACTCACTAGGGACAGGTTTCTGTGGAGTGCTCTGTGGGTATCAAGCAGTGTCAGCACAGAAGGAACAGTCCTTATCTTAGCCCATTTTGTGCTCCCATAACAGAAAACCCAAGACAGTAATTTACACAAAGAACAGAAACTTATTTTCTCACAACTCTAGAGGGAAAGCCCAAGATCCTAGTGCCAGCATCTGGTGAGAGTCTTCTTCCTGATGATCCCATAGTGGAAGGCAGAAGGGCAAGGTTGGGTGGAGGAGAGGAGAAGAAAGAGAGCGAAACAGTGCCAAACTTGTCCTTTTATAAAGAATCCACTCCCATCATTTCAAATCCACCCCTCTAGTAGCATCATTAATGCATTCATACAGCCCGAACCCTCATGGCCCGATCACTACTTGTTAAACCTCACCTCCTAACACGGTTGCAATTGGGTATTAAGTATGCAACACCAGCTTTGGAAGAACATACTCAAACCATAGCAGTCCTCCGCCTTTAAGGAATTATAGTTCACTGTAGGAGATAAAGTGAATTTGGTGAATGCATGCTAGGAGGATAAATCAGAGAAATAACACACCTAACCATTCCCAGCTTGGTGCAGGAGTTAGAGAGGCTCCTGAAGTCACTTGAGCAGTGAGAGCAAGAATAGGGTTCATGTGGGGGTCTTTCAACTGAACATAATTGTGGGGAAGCATTTTGGAATGGAAAACTTAACTAGCTACGGGCCTTCTGGGTGTGGGGCCAAGTAAGAAATATGAAAAATAGGGTAGATTGATTTGGTTTAGGCAAGGAACAAACATACATATACATGTTAAAAAACATTAGACAATGAGGTTTTTTATACATGATGGCTCCTGGCCCCTTCTCCATCCAAGAGTAGCAGCATGGCACCTGTGACATTTGTCCTTTGTCACAGCTCCCCTGACTCTTTTTTTGCTTTCCTTTTCTAGTTTTAAGGACTTTTGTGATTACAGTGGCTCATCTGGATAATCCCTAGTTTAAGTCCAACTGATTAGCATTCTCCTGTGCCATGTAACATTCACAGATTCTCAAGATTAAGACATGGACATCACTGGGAGCCGTTTTACAACCCCCTGAGCCTTCCATTCATTTTAGGGGGAGTACTTCCATCTTTCTGTGAAACTAAGAAATTACTTTGGGCTGGTTTACGTTTTAAAAAATAATGTGAACTTCACCATTCCTTGTCTGTAGAGTCTGCATGCAATGGAAGGCCATGTGATGATCGCCTTCCTGCCCACCATCCTAAACCAGCTATTCCGAGTCCTCACCAGAGCCACCCAGGAGGAAGTCGCAGTTAATGTGACTAGGTAAGGGAGGTGGATGGATGGATACTTTTCTTCGCTTCCAGTCTGTCCACATCTGGAGCACAGTCATGCATATCCGGGATGCTAGTATGTGCTGAACATTTATTGAAGAAATGTCTTGATCCCATACATGGGGACCCCGTCTAATTCCTTGTCTCCTTGTTTCCTAAGTGACAGTAGCATCATCATTGTTCTACTACTACTGCTATAATAATGAAATGTTTCCATTTTCACATTACTATTCATTGCTTTATTCATTCCTGTGGTGTGTAGGGTCATTATTCACGTGGTTGCCCAGTGCCATGAGGAAGGATTGGAGAGCCACTTGAGGTCATATGTTAAGGTATGTAAAACTAACTGTTCTGATTATTTACATCTGTGGCTCTCCAATTTTCCTTCTAAGAACTTTTTTTTTTTCTTTACAAGCCTGGTTATTTAGGGATGTACTTCCAACTTACTACCTATCCTTTCTATCCTATCCCTATTGCCGGAGCTTGTACCTGGACAAGAGAAAGTATGAAGAGAGGCAGCCACTGCTTCCTTTATTTAATTTCATCCTTTGAACAAGTAAAGTGACTCAAATGATGTAGAAGTTTAAAGAATTTTAAGTTGCTCTTGGCTAGGCCTCTGGTAAATTTAGTCTTCTTCATTTTTCTTTTTTCCACACAAAATTCCAGCAAATGGCTACTCCTAAGCAAGAGAGGCTAATTCTGGCCACAATCAAATGACTTGACTCTGTAGGACCGCAAGAGATGTCAGTAGGACAAATATCAACAGGTTGTTTATTTATGTACAACATTACATATATACATAGTGGCAGATATGTGTGTTCTATTCAGAATAAGTCTGCTTTGTGGATTACAGCTATGTGATAGTTTAAAAAACAAAGTTGGGATGCTTGAGGATATCAGTTACCAGTGTTGCAGGACACATCCCTTGAAGTTCCTCTCATGGATGGAGTTACAAGCTAGATGGTGACTGATCTGACTGAGTCAGATGATTTTCTTACCCAGTGGGCTCCCTGAAGACATCCTGGGCGCTCTCTTTCTGTCACATGACAATCACTCTTCCCACCTTTGTTTCCATGCCTTCCTCTCTCCCACCCATGAAATTATACTTTGGTCCCTGATCTCCATTCTTTGGAGCCTCAGTGTTCAGCCCAACCTGGAGAACCAGAGCAGTAAAGTCTCTTTCTCTTTTCTTCCAAGTATGCTTATAAGGCTGAGCCATATATTGCTTCTGAATATAAGACAGTGCATGAAGAGCTGACTAAATCCATGACCACCATTCTCAAGCCTTCTGCCGATTTCCTCACGAGCAACAAACTCCTAAAGGTACGTAGGATAGATATCCAGTGAAACACTTTATTTAAACAGATTAATGGAGAAAGGTTGATGAATGGGTATTAAGTTACAGTTAGATAGAAGCAACTACTGGGTGCTACTGCACAGTAGGTGACTAGAAAACAATAAAGTGTTGTACATTTCAAAAGATAAAATGAGGAGTTCTGAAAGTTTTCACTGTAGAAATGAAAATGATGAAGAGCTAGATAGATTTAACTATATTTAAATATTACACAATGTAAAAATATCAGAATGTTATGTGGAACTCCATTAACATGTACACTTTGTATGTTTTTATGTATCGGTTTAGAAGTAAGTAAGTTAAGGACCACCAGGCATGGAAGTATAAGCCTGTAGTCCCAGCTGCTCAGGAGGCTGAGGCAGGAAACTCACTTGAGCTCACAAGTTTGAGACCAGCCTAGGCAACACAGAGAGTGATAACAAAATTAGTTCTCCAATTGCAGCCTTGCTAATTGTGTATTCAGATAGGAGCTTCAAAGAATTACCACATTCACAGTTGCATTGGCTCTTAAGTCATATTCTGTCAGTGGAGGCCAGTGATTTAGAGATTATATATTTAGAGTGTCACTAAGCAAGAGCTCCACACAGAGGAAGACTGCGTGGATAGTCCAGCAGTGCCTCTTGCTGAGGGGCCCAGCACTTTCCCAGTGGGATGGGTTACTGTTGAACTTGCCCAAGCAGAGAACACCTGCCAGTCTCCTCTTGGGCCTGATGATTTGCCAAAAGGTTCAGTTGTGTTTCAGGGTCATAGCTACTTCTGACTAATACCGCTGTCAGCCTAAGAGAGTTCACCTCTTACCTACTAATTTGTTTTTCTCACTGGGGACTTATTTCTTTTCTTTTTCTTTCAGTATTCTTGGTTTTTCTTTGATGTGCTGATAAAATCCATGGCTCGGCATTTGATAGAAAACTCCAAAGTTAAGGTATGTTACTCCATGTGGAGGCTTGTGTCTCCTTCATTGTGTGTGCAGCTAACATTTCTGACTGTTTTATATGTGCCAGTTCTGGGACTATCCTGATTGCTTTACAAGTAATAAAATATTATAGCTTTATGACTCTCCTGTGAGGGAGATACTTTTCCTACTCATTTTATAGATAAGGAAACTGAGGTCAGAATGTGCCAAGCCCATGCTGCTTATGAGTGGGGGGATCTAGGTTTTGAAACTAGGCTATCTCAATGCTGTGTTCCAGAACTAATGTCATTAAATCCAAAGAAAAGTATGTTTTTCTTTTGACTGGCTTAGAGTTTTCAGGTTTGTTAAAATGGGAATAGTACTTTAAGCCTTAATTTTAAATGCTGTTACCTGGCATTTGTTAAGTGTCTTGACCATTGTAGACATTTCTCTGGGGCTTAGATGACAGCGTCTCATGAATCTCCTGTTCTCTAGAGCTGGTTAACGGACTCTGAGATAATCCATCGCTTTGGGGCAAATGTCCAATCTCCAATTTCTGTATCCCTTGGTGCTTCCTTTTGGTGGTGTCTAGATGTGTGTCCCTTTGTGGGCCTGTCCCCTGGTTCCTCCTGTCTCATGCTGTCCCTTGGTTCTAATGAGCCTAGTCCCTCAGATGACTGGTCTTGTCTCTGGGCTTGAGCCTGTCAAGGTATGACTTGGGTAGAAACATTTCTCTAAAGTTCCAGTTCAGTAAACACACCCAGCAGTGTTGCTGTGTGGGTTTGATGGTTGAAGAGCTCCAACTGAGACGGGAGTCCTGGAGCTGTGCCTGTGACAATGAATTGTGGCCATATGGTAGCTAGGTGCAGGGCCTGGTTGAAAGGAGGGGAGCCATGCAGGGCGCATAGGCCAGTGAGCTGTGGGGCTGCACGTTCTCACAGTGAACCTGTTCTGCAGTTCTCACAGGTAGGAGAGAGAAGCAGAGGGAGGGAGGGTCAGAGGGTCAAGATCTAGGTCTTCTGCCCAGGAGTCTGGACGCTCAGAGGAAGTCGTGCAAAGGCTGTGAGATTTTGCTGGGCAGAAGACTGATGGTTCAGAACCTAAAAGCTGTATTTTCCTCCGGTATAGTAGGTGCTGTTGCCTGACCAGGGGAACCTTTTTGGTTTTTTGTGTTTTTTCTTTTAAATCCAGTTTAAAGATTCCAATTTTTAGTGCACAAGGAGATGCCAGATGGCAGTGGGCTCTACTTTCAAAGAGAAATGCACCATCTAAATCGTGCCAGAACTGCCTGCCAAGGAAAAAGCTAGCAGATTGTCTTCTTGGCAGTATGTAGCTAAGCATGCATGCCCACAGACATACAGACACAGATACGCGCATGCACACACTTGAATATGTTACTTTCCTGTTAAAAATGTTGGGTACAGAATAAGATTATATCCTGTATTAGTTTCTAGGTCTGTCCTGCTAGAGTATTAGGGACCAGGTGGCTTAAACAGAAGAAACTCATGATCTCACAGTTGAGATGCTCAGCTGTCCTGGGTCAGGGTGTTGATGGGCGGGTGGATTACCTCTGAAGCCGCTCCTCTGTTTGTAGTGCTGCTTTTTCCTGTGTAGGTCTGTGTTCTCATCCCTCTTTACAAGGACACCAGTCACTCAACTTAATCACCTCTTTAAAGACCCGGTGTCCAAGTAGATATTTCAGGGTTGGGACTCTAGCATATGAATGGGGGGGCACAGTTGAGCCCATAACAAGGCCCTAGTGGAGTTTTCATTATTTTCAGCCTTGAATAAATATAATCACTCGAGAGAAAATGATCCCTTAAGGTACTAAAACTTATAACTGATTTATTTAGCAAGTATGCATTGAGCTCCTGTGTGCCAGACTCAAGTGTTACTTAAACAGCTTAAATAACGGAGCCAGGCATAGTGCCACATACCTGTAATCTAGCACTCCAGAGGCTGAGGCAGGAGGATTACCATGAGATCAAGGTCGGCCTGGACAGAGCAAGACCCTGTCTCAAAAACTTGAATGTGGTATGGTTTGTGCCCTCAGGAGTCCAGGTGGAAAACTATACTTAGATCAACAGTCACTTTTCCCCCTGATGAGCACTCTGAGGGAAGTGGGCGCAGAGTGTTCCAGGGCACAGGAATATAAGAGGATTGCATGAAGAGGAGTGGATCGGGATGGGTTCTGATGAGTAAATGGGAGTCGGCTGAGACTGAAGGAGGAGAATGAAGACTACGATGAGAAAAGAACTGTGATGGCAAAGGGCTGGGAGTCAGCACCTCATGTCCAGGGAACTTCAGTCGCCGATTCCCTCTTTGTGGCAGCTGCTGCACAACCCACGTGAGAAACCGTGCAGGAGGGAATGAACACTTGTGAGAACACTCACAGGATGTAGATCCTAAACAGGCATCAGCACCATCTTGCTGAGAGCTGTGTTAGGAAATAAATAAAGGAAGTTAACTGTATGTGTG